CATATCAGGTTTTATTTACTCATGTTTATGCTTAATTCCATTTTTAGAGGACTTTGTAGGTGCTGAGAGGAAGAGAAATAGAAAAGTGAAAAGTGAGGGGATTGGAGGGAATTTTGACAATTGAAATGAGCGATAATAGGATGGAAGTAAATAATTGAAGTTTTGGTTATGGCTTTAAGGATAAAATTTTCTCTCTTTTTTCAGTAATTGTTATCTTCAGCTAAATGAATAAAAAATGAGAATGTTTATCTGCGTTTTTTTTAGTTTCTTATGCAACTTTACCATTATGTTTATTTGTGCGACAGAGAAGTATAGGGTCAGTTTAATAGTTGTTTGATTTCTTTTTTATGATAGTGATGACTTAAGTTAGGTCAGACCCACTTCACCTAACAATATTTTGTTGAAGTAAACTTAGGTTTAATGTTTAATAATTAACATAAAAAAGATTAAATTATAATTTAAAATGGAAAATTAATCTCTATTTTTGGGGTTTTAAGTTTAGAAGCTTCTTGTATTGATTCACTGCGTTTACCTTTTAAGTTTCAAGTTGTTTCTTGTTCTTGGGTTGAGTGGCAATTCCATTTTAAAAGAAAATTTTAACTATCAATGATTAACTGTATGCATTATCGTTTTGTTTATTGTGTTATGTATTGGGGTACAATGCAGATTGTGGTAGGGGGAAGGAACAAATATTTGATCAATGGCGAAGCTTGCACAGCCAGTCAAGTTTTCAGAACCTTTTTCATTCAGTGACAGCTACATGTTAATAATCCACATTTCTTATAATGCAAGGACGGATCACTAAGTTTAAATATGAAACCGCCGAGATATTGTCCATGCTGAGGAAAGCTGGCGGGGACGAGAATGTACGAGACAAAGAAAGAGGCTGCTTAAATAAAAAACACTAGAAGAGCCAGAGTTAAGCGTTGACGAGATTAACAATCTTCTTGATCAGGAAATACTGCCTGCTCTGGAGAAGTTAAGGAAAGAAAAGACACAGTACATGCAATGGGCTAATGGAAATGCTGAGTTAGATAGGCTGAGAAGGTTCTGTATTGCTTATGATTATGTTCAAGCGGAGAGGATTAAAGACAATGCTGCTTCGGAGGTGGAGGGAGTGAAAGGCAAGATAGCTGAGATTGATGATGCTGTTAAGACAAATCAGGTGGAAATAAAGGAAATGGAGGCCAAAATAGCTCAGTTGTCTGCTGAAAAGGAAGCTAGCATGGGTGGAGAAATGAAATCTCTCTCAGAGAAGGTAGATGCGCTTTCCCAGAATCTTGTGAGGGAAACGTCTGTATTAAATAACAAAGAAGACTCTTTGAGGAGTGAAGAAGAAGCCCAAACAAAAGCAAATGTATGTCAGTGATGTTCTGAATTCACTGTTGCTCAATTTTGAAGATTTTGTTGCCAATCCTTTCAACTAATGTTTTGAGATATTTCTATTTTCTGAAGCTAATATTTGGTTTTTGAACCTTTTGTGTTTTAAGATTGTTAAAAACATTGAAGAGCTGAAGCAATCTGTAGACGAGAAGGCGTCTGCTGTTAAAAAGGCTGAAGAGGCATCAGGTCTGAAAAATAAAGTTGAGGAGCTTAAAATAGTCTAGAGGAGCATGAAAAAGAATACCAGGTAACTGGTTTAAAGTTGTCTGGTTCTGGGATGTCTATCAGTGGGATTTCTCTTGGTGTTTATTTTATCCTGTTGCTCGAATTTTTACAGGGTGTTTTAGCCGGCAAAAGCAGTGGTAATGAGGAGAAGTGCTTGGAGGATCAACTAAGGGATGCAAAGGGTAGCAGTCGGGAGTGCTGAGACAGAATTGAAACAACTGAAGCCAAGATTAGGCCATTGTGAAAAGGAACTGAAGGAAAAAAACAAATCAATTAAAGTCAAAACGTGTGAAGAAGCTAATGCTGTCGTAAAAGAGCTCAACTCCAGACAAAAAGATGTGGAGAATATAAGAACTGGGTTGGAATCTCTCTCATATAAAGAGGGTGAGATGGAGGATTTACAAAAGGTTAGATTGGTTTATCTTCTGCTAGTTTCTTTCCAATTTAAAAATGTTTATACAAGTCTTGTTTAAGTAAATTCTCTTGTAAAATAACTTATAGGAGCGTACGACTGAGATGGACTGTGTGCAAAAGTGGAAGGATGAGATACGCAATCTTTCAGCTTACCTGGCTAATGTTGAATTTACTTACCGTGATCCTGTCATGAACTTTGATAGGTCAAAGGTGAAAGGTGTTGTTGCAAAACTCATCAAAGTAAAGGATAGGTCCACAATGACTGCCCTAGAGGTTGGATATCGTGATAACTTTTACCTAAATTTATGAAAGAAAATTCTTAGGTTAAGAAGCCCTGAGTTATTGCCATTTTCAGGTTACAGCTGGTGGGAAGTTGTATAATGTTGTTGTTGACACAGAAAATACTGGGAAGCAGCTACTACAAAATGGAAACTGAGAAGAAGAGTGACAATGTATACCTTGAACAAAATACAATCCCATACGATTCCCTCAAGAGTCAACAAGCTGCTGTAGACTGGTTGGTCACTGGAATTTTTTTCTTTTGAAATTATTATCTACTTATTTTTTCGTCACTAGAAGCTGAAGAATTGATCCACTTCCATTTAAGGTGGGGAAGGGGAATGCTGAAGTGGCCCTTTCTTTGGTTGGTTATGAAGAAGAATTAAAGGTTTGCTCCTTGAATTGCAATTTATTTTTGTAATCATGCAGTGGTACCCACTACATCGTTACTGAGCATTTTCTATACCACTTGAAGGTTCTAATAATGTTTTCTATTTTTGTTTTGCTATACTATCGTGTCGGGTGTCGGATCACAGTGAATAGGAAATTTGGTGCTCAGCTCAGGTTTTATTATTTTTTTAAGTACACATGTGTTCTAACTTAATTTATATGTTGTTGCGGTCAATAGCCGCGTGCCAAGCTGGAAAAGTAGATTGTATTATGGTTCAACCTTTGTTTGCAAAACCATTGATGCGCAAAAGAAGGACGTAGTGGGGGGTCGGTGGTAACTAGTGATGGACGCCTTTTTATGTTCAGCTACATTGGCCATAGATGTATGCGTGTGTATTGGTTATGCCTTTTACAATCCATACTCTTCTATCTGCCACATGATCATCTCACTCTTACACCCTTTCATTTTTGTTGGATGTCTAATAGGTGGCATTTAATAGAGACATTTACACAACAAGGTCACTCTTGAAGGAGATATATTTCAACCAAGGGGTCTTCTGACTGGTGTGGGAGCAGGGGAAGTATGCGTCCTATACCAGAATACACATTGTTTTCTGTTCAATAATACACTGATCAGTAAAGCATAATAGAATAGAGTTTTTGACAACCTTAAAGGAGTTATGTTTCTAGTAGTTGATGCTGCCACTTAGTTTATTCAATCTGTGTATCTGATGTCATTTTAAGCAATCAGTATTACTTCTCTGATATGTTGTGACGGATTTGTTTGTAACAGGGAAGGTGGTGATCTTTTGGGACACTTCATGCTTTGGCTGAGGCCCGAGTCAAAAACTTTCAGGGCATCAAAGAAGGTTGTCAGAGATGAGGCAAGGTAGACTCCGAAGACCCCCTTTTTCCAGAATTATATGGAAACTTTGAAAACATAGTAATAAGCGATTTTACATTGTATTTTGATATTTTGTTTTATTTTTCTGCTACTGAATTTGGAAGTTTAAATATAGGAATGATTAGCTTATATGTTATTTGGGTTGGGTGTCAATTACTTGAAGTAAAGATGCAGGTAGGTTTCCCTTTTGTTGCAATGAAAGCCACCTATTTGCTATAATTAATGGTGGGTACTGAAGCAGGAGTCAAACAAATCCTCCTTTAGAAAGAAAATATCAAAAAACAAAGCATTAATTAATTAAACCCCCCACAGTATATTCAAAATCACTTCTAAAATGGTTACTAGTGCTAGGTCAGGACCTTTAAATAAGTACAAAAAATTGTTTATCAAAAGAAAGGGAATTTAGGTTTTCGGCCTTAAAATTCAGGCATTTCACTTTAGGTAAGCCGCTTATGCACTGATTTTGGGCATGGTGCCGAAGACCTTCGCACCTTTTACTAGTCTAAAAAAAGCATATGATAACTTGCTCTCTTTAGAGATTCAGTTTTCCTCAAGACATCATAAACGTCTCAACTAAAAGTATCTAGCTAGGGTCGAATATACAAATAAATTGTTAATGTTTCACAACCAGAAG